TTTCCCTAATAAATATAAATAAGCAAAACCTGTTTACAAAAATTACTCACACTTACTTTCCATAATCACAGAAGTCTCCAGTTTTTAAAGATGACCACCTTTCAATAAAACCATTGGCAGTCAAAAAATAAATCATTCAAAGACTAAATTTCTAAGTTCACCTCAATTCAGCAAATATTTATTGAGTATATACTATGTGCAATGAATATATGTAGTAGGCTGTGCTGTAACAGAAACAAACAAAAGTAAAATATGATCCCTATTCTCAGTAAGTTTAAAATTAATGATGGAAACAGACATGTAAATAGTAAACAAAAAATTAAACAAGTACCATAATAAAGGTATAGTACAAAAAGAAAATACTATTGGTTCTTTGCTCATTTAGCAAAGCAATTCAGGGTTACCTTATTTTTCTTTCTACACTGTTTTCTCTCTCTCTCCCTTTTTTTTGGCCGCGCTGCACAGCACGCAGGATTGTAGGATCTTAGTTCCCCGATGGCCAGGGATCGAACCCTTGCCCTCTGCAGTGGAAGCATGAAGTCCTAACCACTGGACCACCAGGGAATTCCCTCTACACTGTTCTCTCTAAGTCTCATTATTTCCCAAAACACTTCCAGACCGTCCCAAGGTAATTCACAAACATCACATTGCTCTAATACCACAACAGAACAATGTGAAGATCAGAAAACTAAAGGTACTCCAGATCCCTATTTACATCTATTTAAAGGAGATTACTAGAAGACAAAAAATACTCATTTAAGAATATCCAAACACTTTCTCCAAAGTTCCAACTCCAATATTAATTTTGCTGACTGAAAATACAGTAAATAAACCAAATAAATTGAACATTAACAACTTCTTAATAAAATTAACAAAACTAACCTCTTGTTTTTTTTCCAAACTACACTAAATACAAATAATCTAACAGCTATATCAATATAACTAGTCTTTTCTGAAGTCAAAGAAGGAAATATAGATTACAGGGATCCTTTCTTATATATTACTACTCTACCTCACTAATCTCTAATCTTTTAAAAAATTTATTTATTCATTTATGTCTGCAGTGGGTCTTCATGGCTGCTTGTGGGCTTTTTCTAGTTGCTGCAAGTGGGGTCTACTCTTCGTTGAGGTGTACCAATCTCTAATCTTTAAGACTCTAAACTACATTTAAATATTCATAGAAAATAATTCAAATCCCTTCAAAGTAGTTTGTTATCTTGAGATCCACCCTTCAGCTACAAAAAAGTTCATCAAAGTTAGATACTCAAAAACAGTTTTTTACAAAATACAAAGATTTCACAAATATCAGAGCCATGAATATGTTAAATTCTCAGTAAGCAGAAAGGGAACAGTTAGACACCACTTTCAAAACACTACTTATTCTTCACCAGAAGTCTGAGATCTCAGAGCCATTAGAGTACCCCCCAAAAATGAACTTGGTCTGGGGAACCATAGAATAAAAAAAGGTAGAGTATAATTTTGACTAACCAGGCTGATTTAAAAACAGAGCATTACAGAGTATAAACATAACTAAAAATTAAAAGTAGCAAAGCATATCAAACATAAAATTATGTTTTCTATTTAAACATTTTATTATCTAAATCCTCAAGTTAAAAGGAGCTACCATGACAGAGAGGATTCTGCCAATCTAAAAGAAGATAATGGCTTTCTCCTAATCAAGGAGTAGACAGGGTAGGTATCAGAAATAAAAAAAAAAATCCACTATGAGCTACTTTTATAAAAAACTAGGGGTATACACGTGATAACAATAACAGTAATAGTAGTAACTGAGTACTAATAGGATTGTTCTGAAAACATGTATTCATTCAATTCTCACCATAATCCTATGAAATAACTATTATAATACCCATTTTCAAACTAAGATACTGAGGGACTTCCCTGGTGGTCCAGCGGTTAAGACTCTGCATTCCCAATGCAGGGAACCCGGGCTCCATCCTTGGTCAGGCAAGTAGATCCCTCACGCCGCAACTAAGAGCCCGCATGCCGCAACTAAAGGATTCCCGCATGCGGCAACTAAAGATCTGGCACACAGCAACGAAGACCCCGCGTGCCACAACTAAGACCTGGCACAGCCAAAGAAAGAAAAAAAGAAATTTCTTTTTTTTTAATTAAGAAATTGAGCCACAATGAGGCCAGCTATTGGTAACCTTGGTAGATAATTCCATATGAATATTCACATAAACCTGATAGAGCCACAATTAAAAACAAAACAAAAAATTAGATTCTAAAACCTATGCACACTGGATAAAATGGGATATTCACAAAGCATAATAATTGCCTAAAATACCTATCTCTTCATCACATCTCTGTAAAATTCTCACTAAAACAAAACAAAGCACCTAAAAAAAAAAAAAGGGCACCTGACAGAATGCTGTATGTTCTTAAGGGAGAAGAGAGACCAATCTCTTTTAGCTATCCACTGCACTTCATTTCTATCTTCAAAGAGAATTATCCCTCAGTTTTCTTCATTTGAACATCTTAATCACTGAACAAAATACATACAAAAAACTTAGAAACTTAAGAAATGTAATGCTTATGACACTACATGGTTAACACTTCCTACATCTAGAGCTTGGTGCTCTAGAACCAGACTGAAATCCTGACTCCATCACTTACTTGCTGTATGACTGTGGGCAAGTTACTTAATTTCTCTATGCCTCAGGTTTTGGAAAATGGGAATAACAACAATGGCTTATACAGTATGTTTGTGTATATATGTAAATATGGTGCTTACTGTGTACCAGGTACTGTTCTGAGCAGTTTACATATGCCTATTGACTTATTTAATACTTACAGCAACCCTCTGAGGTAGTGTCTCACCTTTTTACAGATGAGGCACTGAGAAGCAATTTGCCCAAGATCAAATGGCTAATAAGTGGCAGAAGCAGGATTTGAACTGAGACAGTCTGGGATTCGGGATTCCATGCATGCTCATTATCATTAGGAGTAAGTACCTCATAGGGTTATTATGGATAATTTAACACATACAAAATGCTTAGTCCAGTGCTTGGCAAGTAGTAAGCACTCAATAAATATTCGTTATTATATTTTTTCTTGGCTTTAATTCAAAAGATTTCTCATTTCTTTAGAGGTCACTACTGACTAGCAGTAAGGCAAGACTTGAGGCCAAACCTATTATTTCTAATGATTTGTTTAATTCACATCTTGGGTTCTAACTTAAGACAAACACAGAAACCAAAAGATCTTGACTTTTGACTACGAACTTTGCAGAAAAACCACAACAAAAAAGAAAAATATCGTCCTAGGAAAAGTTACACCTCTGTATCCCCTAGTCGAGTACTTTTCAAATATCCGAAAAATTGTAGGCCTGAGGCAGAGCTAACCACATTTAATACCAAAACCTGAATCCCGACAAAAACGCAATTACTTTTAAACCAACCAAGCCAAACAGAGACTAGTCCCTCAGTGGTGTTAGGTCTGAATTTTTAATTGAATCGCCAATCTCCCTGCTTTTTACCTAATCGTCACCAAACCACTCCACTCTTTTAGATCCTATGCTTTACTTGGCTTCCCATCAACCCACGTAAACCCTCCTTCGGTTTTCGCTTCGTTTTTTTCTAATCTGCTAGCTTGAAGCACTTGATGAGAAGACTGTGCTTTTCTAGGCACCGCCTAATACACCACCATCCCACGAAGTCCTTCCTAACTATCTTTTCTTTCTGTCAAGCGCCCCGGCCCCGCGGTGGCCCTGCCGTCTGGAGCCCGTCAGAAACGGCCAACTCTCGGGGCGTCTTGACGCTTCTGTGCGGCGCCAGGCGCATAAAACGCCCAACCAGCCCTTCTCGGGAACCACAGATTTAACCGAAGCCGCCGGGCTCTCAAAGACCTTCCCCAGAAAGGACGGCTCCGTCCGACCCTTGACCTCGCCCCCCGATAACACCCACCGCGCACAAGCCTGAGGTGAAACCCGCGGAGTTTTCCTCACAAAGAGCCGGGGTCCCCCGCGAGCAGTGGCTCCCCTTTGGCCGGGGGGGGGGGGCGGAAACAGGATCCGCACTCCTCTGCCTTTCCAACCTCCCGGCCCGAAGCGCCCCCCGTCCCCTCAGACACAGCCCCGCCGAGGAGACGCCCGAGGCCCTCGGGCTCGATCCTGACTCCAGAAAGCGCTCCTCCCGTCCCCACCGGCCCCCGCTTGGTTCCGCCCACCCGTAAGAAAACTCCATCGACAACTGCGGCCAACCGCCCCTTCCCCCACAAACCGCGGTACTTGGTTCCACCCACACCTCCTCCCACTCCAACTCGGTGCGACTCGGCTCCTCACCCAAAGACATATCAATTTTGTCCAGGTTTTCATTGCTACGGGCTTTCGGCGGCGGCGGCGGCGGCGGCGGGGTTGCGGTGGCTCCCATTAACCGGGTACCAAACCGGTTCATAGCTGGAGACGTCGCGCTGGAACAGTCAGCGAAGAAGGCCAGGGGCTGAGGCCTGCCACCTCCCACTCACGCACGCAGACTAGCCGCACCGACGGAGCGCGCACGCGTGCTGGCTGCGTCCTCTCCCACCCGCGGCGGAGGGCTGGGGGAGGAACCAGGAGACGAGCGGCTGGCGAGAGTGGCCCCAGGCCCCGGACTCGCCCCTAGCGCCTCTTGCCGGACCGGAGGAAACATTGCATCCGCTGCTCTGGCCGCTTTCGAGTGCCGCTGTTTTAGCAGTTAGCCTTTCCGCCCAAATTATGCTGGACCCTGAACGCCTCAGAATCACATGCCTTAAATGAGATCATGTTCCTCCGTGCCCTTCGAGTCCCTCCTGCTACAGAAAGGCCCCCTAAGCTTTGATACACACGAACCTTTCACACCCCACTGCAGAGCAGCCCCAGAGGCTGCGAGCGTGGACTGCAGAACTGCGCCCCAGCTCCCCTCTTCACCGGCAGCACGCGGAGCGACACGTCCGGACGCAAAGCAGAGGCTGCACTGATACTTCTTGCGTCAGCATACTAATAAAAGTAAATGCTAACGTTTCCCATATCTGTACCACTTCTCAGCCGGCGCTCTCAAAACGTTTGGCACGGTACCTTATTAAGACATCACCTTCCCTCGGGCGAGCGGTAAGTACCTCTGCTTATTTGGCTGCATTTTTCTCTAATTCACTTGAGTTGGGAATTGATAAGGGGATTCATTTTCTTTCTAATCATCCCTGTGGGAAAACTTATTAATATTTGATGAATTCCTGCATAGTAACTTTTTTTCCTGTTAACAAAACCTGATATTCTCTCTTTCTTACCTCCTTCTGCTCCAGATAACTGCGCTTGTGTGGAAGCATTTAGGTTATATTATCGTCATAGCAGCTTAAACTAAGATATTTGCATCTAAGAAAAAAATTAGGGGCAGGTATTCCGTTCATTTAGAAATCTCTGCCACCTTCCTCCTCTGCACTTCCTAAAATTTCTCTTTACATAGAAACGAGCTAGTGACCTAAAGTATCTCAAACCCACAATAGCCTATACTTTATTTTTTCCCCAAGACAAAAATACAACCATATGAGAAGAGTGAATCAGCTGAAGAGGCACCTATGAAGGGATGCAAGAAACTTAAATGGTGGAGGAAGGTTTGGACTCAAAAAGACCCATGAACAATATTCAGCATGTCAAGGAGAGTATCATGTATGCTCTTAGCACAAAGTGCTTGATTTTATTACTGTTCCACTCTGCAGCTGCCACCCCTTTCCCAACTGCTAAAAACTAGGGAACCGGATTGTAGAGAAGTACAAGAGAGACCTAGGTTTTATTGAGTGAGTGGTTTCACTTCAGTCATTCACCTTGTGAACTTGGGAGAGTGTCTGGGCCTCATAATCATTTTCAAAACAAGAAGTAGTTATACTAAATATATATTACACTTAATTATTTCTAAGATTCCTTACAGTTCTAAAATCTTCTAAGCACAAGACATTTTTCTACATACTATCCTTCTCTCACTAGAAATAACTTCTGCAATCTCTCCTTATTTGTAGGAGCAAACTACAGGGAGGAACATTGGATTCAGTTCTTAATTTTATGGAAGAAAATTAATGCATTTAGAGTTTGGATACATTTTGTACTTCAGGCAGTATAGGACAGATAATAAAAATCCCAAATGTGCAAAATCCTTCCCATATCAATTTATAAAAATTCCCTTTTATCCTGGTCTTCTCTCCAAAACTGAAGCCCCATACCAAATCTCCTTAGCTCTAGAGGGAACATGCTCCAAGGTTTCATGAAACAATCCTAGCTGTTGTATTTCAGACTTTCAGATTTCTCCAAGGGCTGAGGGTCTCCGAGTCTCAGAGCACCCTGATTCCAAAGGGAAAAACAAGAAAACAAGAGGCACTGGAGTTAAGGATAGGTCAGCCACACACAAAAAAATACAAAGCACAAGAGCAACCTGAGACACACAGCAACAGTGAAGAGGGAGAAGAGCTAAGAAATCAGAATTGGGGCTTGTCCAAGAAGTTGACCAGTCAGCTACAGGGCTGGAGTTAAAAGGTCAACCCTGCAATTTTCTGGGGCACAAGAGGCAGCTATTCATTTAATCCTATATTCGTTGAGCACCAGGCATTGTAATAGGCCCTGGGAATAAAATGGTGAGCAAGATGGATGCCATCCCTATCTTCACATAGCCTGCAAAGCAAAAAACGTTTTCTGAGCATTTACTGTGAATAAGGTACTGTACTGGACACTGAGTGGACAGCCTTTGTCTTCAATTCATCAGCTTCATCTAAGTCAAAATAAACATAGAATTCAGCTGCCCTTTCTGGAGGCTTGATTTCATACAATGTAGATCAGACAACATCTAGGATTGCCAGATAAAATACAGGACCAGTTAAATATGAATTTCAGGTAAACAATGAATAATTGTTTAGTATAAGTTTTGTCCCAGGTTTCACATAAACAGGAATTTTTTTTTTTTTGCCACAGAATATCGCATGTAATTTTTTTTTTTTTTTTTTTTTTTTTTTTTTTGCGGTATGCGGGCCTCTCACTGTTGTGGCCTCTCCCGTTGCGGAGCACAGGCTCCGGATGCGCAGGCTCAGCCGCCATGGCTCACGGGCCCAGCCACTCCGTGGCATGTGGGATCTTCCCGGACCGGGGCACGAACCCGTGTCCCCTGCATCGGCAGGGGGACTCTCAACCACTGCGCCACCAGGGAAGCCCCACATGTAATATTTAGGATGTATTTATACTAAACAATTATTCATTGTTTATCTGAAAGTAAAATTTAACTGGAGTCTTATATTTTTATTTGCTAAATCTGGCAACCTTAACAACACCATACTTTTCTATTAACGTGTTCCAGCTTTCTTTTCACAGTGTGCATAGAGATCTATATTCTCTTCAAAGGTAAGCACAACTCATATATTTAACCCTTAACTTGATTAGTTTGATATATCTTTTAAGTTCCCCCTTTTTTTCAGCTTTATTGAGGTATAAATGACAGACAATAAAAGACACATACTTAAAGTGTGCAGTTTATACAGGTGTGAAATATATAACTGTGAAAATACCACCATAATCAGGATAATAAATATTATCATCCCCAAAAGTTTTCCTGTGCTCCTGTGTAATTCGTCCCCCCAACCTCAACCTAAGTAAGCAACCACTGATGTTTTCTGTCACTATAGATTAATTTGCATTTTTTAGAATTTTATATAAATGGAATCATACAGTATATACTCTTTTTTGTATCTGGATTGTTTCACTCAGCATAATTGTTTCAAACCTGTATGCCTTTTATTATTTTTCTTGCCTTATTACACTGACTGGGGACTCCAGTACTATGTTAAACAGGAATGGTGAAAGTGGACATCTTTGACTAGTTCCCAACCCCAGGGGGAAAGCATTCAGTCTTTCACCATTAAGTATGATGTTAGATTTTTTTGTTGATGCCCTTTATCAGGTTGAGGAAGTTCCCTTCTACTGGTTTGCTAAGAGTTTTAGTTATGAGTGAATGTTGAATTTTATCTAATGCTTTTTCTGCATCTGAGATGACCAAATGGTTTTTCTTTTTAAATTTATTAATATGGTAAATTATATTGGCTGGTTTTCAAATGTTGAACCACCCTTGCATTTCTAGGATAAACCTACTTGGTCATGGTATATTATCCTTTTTATATATTATTGGATTTGGTTTGCTAATATTTTGTCATGGATATTGTTTCTTTTTTCTTGAGTGATATTGATTTCCTTTCCTTTTAATGTCTGTGCCTGATTTTGGTATCAGCTCTTATGCTTTTCAGAAGAGTATTTTTAGAATTCGTATGTTGATGTTATTTGTATGACAGTGGAATAATAAGGGAGCTAGGTATAATTTGTATTATATGTGGTTATAGTATGTATTAGGTATGACTATTATTATTATACCTAACTCCCTTAAGCTACTTGTATGTACAGTACAGTTTTTCTTCTCTTTTCTGCTCAATTCTTCTCATTACCCCCGTTGCCACTGTTTTCTGCTGTGGTAGCTTTTCTTGCCACCTTGCTACAGCTTCCTCTTTCTCTTTTATGTTGTCCTTTTCTTTTGCTTTAAGTGTTTATAGCTGTTCTAGTCTTCTGCCTTTTAATCTCAGGATTCATTCATTCACGTATTGAAACAGAGTTTGAGTTCCTACTCTGGGCAAGACACTGTGCTACACAGTACAGTGTTACAGCCGAGGACATGACACGCAGGATAGCAGGCATAGCTGGAGGCATTACTAGTCTCCAGGTCCCTGGCCCTCAGTTTTCTCTGACTAGCAGGTAACCTGCTTGGATAGACAGGGAAACTTGAAGGGGAATTCTTCCTGGGCTCAGAGGTTGGACCTCTAGCCCACTCCTTATTAGGCCTTGTCTTCTCTGGGCAAGGCAGGGGTCCTGTCAACCAAAGGTTCTAGGTCAATTCACTGAATGACTAATTGTGGAATTTTCTAAAGCTACACAAATTTACATAAATCACACAATTTCCCCCTAGTTATGTAAAGACTGTTTCTTTTTTTTTCCCCCCCCGGTACGTGGACCTCTCACTGTTGCGGCCTCTCCCGTTGTGGAGCACAGGCTCCGGACGCGCAGGCCCAGCAGCCATGGCTCACGGGGCCCAGCCGCTCCGCGGCACGTGGGATCCTCCCGGCCTGGGGCACGAACCCTTGTCCCCTGCATCAGCAGGCGGACTCCCAACCACTGCGCCACCAGGGAAGCCCAAGACTGTTTCTTTTAAAAAATATATCTTCGGACTTCGCTGGTGGTGTAGTGGTTAAGAATCCACCTGCTAATGCAGGGGGCACGGGTTCGAGCCCTGGTCCGGGAAGATCCCACATGCCGCAGAGCAACTAAGCCGGTGTGCCACAACTACTGAGCCTGTGCTCTAGAACCCGTGAGCCACAACTACTGAGCCCACGTGCCACAACTACTGCAGTCTGCGTACCTAGAGCCCGTGCTCCGCAATAAGAGAAACCACCACAAAGAGAAGCCCGTGCACCGCAATGAAAAGT